AAAGGCTTTGGTTACTCCAAAGCTGCCAAGTCCAAAGGGAACACCCATATTTGAACTCGGGACATCTTGATCTGCAGTCAAATGCTCCAACACTGAGCTATACCCGCACAGAAACAGCAACTCAAAACTGCACACAGGAAATTAGATCCTTCAGTTTTACAATATCATACAACATCTTCACTTCAAAATAAAGACTTTGGTTACTCCAAAGCTGTCAAGTCTAAACGGGGCACTAAGATTTGAACAGGGGACCGTTTGAGCTGCAGTCAAATGCTCTACCACTGAGCTATACCCCCACAGAACCAGCAGCTCAAAATCCTCAAATAACAACATTTTCACTTTAAAATAAAGGCTTTGGTTACTCCAAAGCTGCCAATTCTAAAAGGGACACCCAGACTTGAACAAGGGACCTCTTGAGCTGCAGTCAAATGTTCTACCAATGAGCTATACCCCTACAAGATCAGGAGCTCAAAACGCACACAGGAAATTAGATCATTCATTTTGACAATATCAAATAACACCATCTTCACTTTAAAAGAAAGACTTTGCTTAATCCAAAGCTGCCAAGCCCAAAGGGAGCTCCCATATTTGAACTTGGGACCTCTTGATCTGCAGTTAAATACTCTACCACTGAGCTATACCCCCATGGTGCAGAGCTCTTGGGCTGCAGTCAAATGCTCTATTACTGGTCTATACCCCCACGTGATCAACAGCTCAAAATCAGGAAATTAGATCATTCATTTTTACAATATCATACAACAACATCTTTACTTAAAATAAAGGCTTAGGTTAACCTAAAGCTGCCAGTTCCAAAGGGGACACCCAGATTTGAACTGAGGACCTCTTGATCCGCAGTCAAATGCTCTATCACTGAGCTATACACCCATGGCACAAACAACTGAAAATCACACATAGGAAATTAGATCCTTCACTTTGAGAAGACGACAGCTGCACTTTGAAGTCAAGGCTTCGGTTACGTCAAAGAAGATAAGTCCAAAGGGGACACCCGGATTTGAAGCTGGGACCTCTCGATCAGTACTAGCATGCTCAACCACTTAACTATGCTCTCATAGAGGGTGAGGTAGAAAATCACAGAAAGGATATTAGATTTTTCAAGGTCAAGGATTTTGTGTTTCCAAAGCTGCAAGGTCGAAAGGGAGCACCCAGTCTCGATCTGTAGTTAAATGCTCTAACACTGAGCTTTACCCCCATAAAATCAGTAGCTCAAAACTGCAGACAGTAAATAAGATCCTTAATTTTGACAATATCAAAAGGCAACATCTTCACTTCAAAATAAAGGCTTTGGTTACTCCAAAACTTCCAAGCCTAAAGGGGCCACCCAGATTTGAACTGGGGACCTCTTGGGCTGCAGTCAAATGCTCTATTACTGGTCTATACCCCCACATGATCAACAGCTCAAAATCAGGAAATTAGATCATTCATTTTTACAATATCATACAACAACATCTTCACTATAAAGTAAAGGCTTTGGTTACTCCAAAGCTGCCCAGTCTAAAGGGGGCACCCAGATTTGAACTGGAGACATCTTGATCTGTAGTCAAATGCTCTACCACTGAGCTATACCCCCAAAAACTCAGTAATTCAAAACCGCACGCAGGAAATTAGATCATTCATTTTGACAATATCAAATAACAACATCTTCACTTTAAAAGAAAGGCTTTGGTTACTCCAAAGCTGCCAAGTCCAAAGGGAGCACCAAGATTTGAACTGGGGACTTCTTGATCTGCAGTCAAACGCTCTACCACTGAGCTATACCCCCACGTAATCAACAACTCAAAACCTCACACAGGAAATTAGATCTTTCATTTTGACAATATCAAACAGCAACATCTTTACTTCGAAATAAAAGCTTTGTTTACTCTAAAGCTGCCA